CTATTTTTTCACATGTTGTGCGCTCAAAACTAAGCTTTCACTGGTATGGGCAGTTGGGGGAGAGTTTGGAGAGAAAAAGGAGTTTATACATTCCAGGTCAGTGGTCAAAATGATGTAAACAGAAGAGAATCAAGTTCATCAAAATCCAATCAGATTGGCCCAGAGATTGACGATAGGGGGTAGGGTCTACGGTCAAAAAATAAGAAAAATATGAGTTTGGTCAATTGGGTCCTGCTGCTAACTATATTGAAAATGGATGTGGGATCAAATTCAATTCTTACCCACATTGAAACAATAATAAAAAAAAGGCCAAAAGGGCTCCAATTCATCTGCTCCAATTGAATAGCAGAGACCCTAGTCGGAGTTATTCAGGGTTGGCTTTAACTGAGCCTCGTGGTTTTTTTTGTTTTATATGAGTGATATTGGGGATGGAGGAATCGAACCTAAGACCTCGGATGCAGAGGTAAATGTTTTTAACCACTTCAGCTACAAGCTCTTTCCGCCTCATGCTTTTTCTTAATTGCATAAGTAGGCGTAAGAGCAATAATTAATCTGATAATTAATCCTTGTTCAATGAACCAGCAAGCAGGAATAATAGATGGTCCACTCCATTAATGCTGCAGAACCTAGGCTCTCTCAGATTCATTGTTTCCATTTGAGACATGACAGTCTATATAGATTTTAGTCCAAGACTCAGAAGAACATTATCCATATTGCTGATATCTGGTGGTTGGGATACTGGATAAGGCATAGCAAGACTTCACTGCTGATGGATAGGTCATTACATTTTTGCTGTCATTGAATTTGATTTCTTTGATTGATCAAGATCCTTATGAACCCAATTTACTCTTTGTAATCAAAAGTCAGATTTGGCACAACTACATGTTTGCTTAAAATAATATATCCTGATTTACCCATCAACTTGGAAGTTGGAATTGATACATTTATGACAAAACCAGATGGGTTTGATTGTTGTACTTTCTTTTCATAGAGGTATGGAGATCCAAAGTAGGACCATGTTTTTGAAAGGATTGTCAAATTATTTGCAAGCAATCAGTTGGTTTTATTGTGAAGGGTTGCAATACAAAGAGAGGGTAGGATGTCTTATTCTTCTTCACATGGCACAACAACTTGAAGCTTCCAGATTGTCAATTTTCTCTGTAGGTTGTACGGCCTCTCTGTCCCTTCTCCATCCATCACCTCTGTATATTTTGTTCAACTGGTAAATACAATACAAGGCCCTGGATCTTTGGGATTGATTGAACCAAATTTAATGAGGGTTTTCAAGCCATTCTTTTCTAATCATAGAGATTGGCCTGTCCTTCTCTTTTTTTCTGACACATTGAATTTTTAAGTGTTTGGTAAAGGGACATATCTCTCTTTGCTTTTTCTCTAACTTTATCTGTTAGTGTTTCATTGCATGCATGCCTATCACAAAATATATATAATAAGGTTTATCAGAATGCAGGGGTTTGAATAATTGTGCAGCATACACACATTCCGGGGAAGGCTTCTTCCAGGATCAAACTAATTGGTTTTGCATTGAGATAAAGAGAAAGAGACAAATCAGCAGAGTGCAGTAATAGATTCTAGTCAATGGTGCAGGCCTAATATGCATGCAATGGGGATAACACTATTTTGTTATTCCTGGTTAATAACGCTATGACACGGGTGATAACATTTCTACATGGCATAGCATTATTGATCGGGGATAACAAAACAGTGTTATCCCCGTTGCAACTAAGTTTTTCTCCCAAAAATGGGAAATCTGAATTTTTTTCTAATAGAAAAAAGGGAAATATGAACCTCAACAGATTACAGGGTTATTATGCATCTATTCATGTCATATTCTAAGTAAAAAACCATACTGCTACATCTCTCATATTTTGGTTTGAAATGGAATTCTGGAATGAGTGTATGATAAGAAATCATCTACAAGACTGTAAAATTTGATGGGTTTTTAACCTAATCTGCAGTGTAAAAAAAAGATTTACTGAGCTAAATAATGTTATTGGATTCTTTCTGTCATCTTATTTCTGTTCCTGTCTGCAGAAGGCAGCAGAGGCCTGTACAGGAGGAACTGAGAAAGTCTTTTGTGTCTAGCATAGGCAGGAGATCATGTGTCTTTATCAACCATTCTTTTTTACCACTGTGAAAACCCATCGATTGCCATTTTACCCTACCTCTATAGTCATGAAAACCTGCTATTGACCATGAAACAGCAATGTGGTGAAATTTTAACCAGAAGCCGAGTTTGACTAATTATGATCATCTGAGCCAAATTCAGATCGTATGAAATTTCAGACAGACATTTAAAAGGTGCCCCCACAATGAATAACTGTGCCACATCTGTAGTCTTTAGTGCAAAACTCCTGTGGATATAGTTTATTTATTCATATGCCAAACTTGTCAAACAGTTGGTAATTATGATGGTGGAAGAAATAGTTTAAATGAAAGTTAGGTCTTGTGGCAAATCGTTTTTGAGTAGCCTATGCAGGCTGCTGCATGAAGCTATAGTGCCTAATTTGTATCCCCTTTTAACAAGTAATGGTTGGTCCTCCTTAAAAACGTGTAGATTAATACATAAAGGCAGGCAGTTTTGTGGGAAAAAAAAGCAAATTGGGAAGGAGCATATCTTATATAGTAAAAAGGAACAAGATCTTGTTAATTAGTGGAAAAGTGAGCGGTTGAAACTCCTTAAAGTGGCCAATTGATTAGATGGTTGTTAAGTTCGGATTAAAGGTATTTCGGTACTTAGCTAGCTACTTAAAATGATATATTTACCTTATGCAAAATGAGAAATGTTAACTGCGTAATCGCTGAACCCATCAACGACTGAGAGTTACCCAACGACACACCATGAGCAACACATTTACTAATCTTATTTACCCACCAGGACAAAACAAAGGCACAAATGAGATTATGGTGCCAGGACACAATGAAGATGTACAGATGGACCAACATGGAGTAGAATGTGACAAGTCATGTGGATGTCCATGGGTAGAAAAAAACAAGTTCTAAAAAGAAAATAAAGGGCACTGTTTTTCTGGTTGCTGTAACTTTCTGCTATGGAGAGCCAAAATGACCTCTGCAAAATGGACCCAGTAGTTCTGGAAACCAAACATTATTTAGTTGGTGGATCGTGCCATCTTATCCAATTACCTGAAAATGACAAACCCTTATTTTATCACCTAGTGCTATGTGCGTACGCTAGCAAGCACTCAGTTTTCCTTTTCCCTTTTCCTTTCTCAAAAACCTTTTCCTTCACTATAATCAAACTGTAGCAATCCGTTGTATATTAACGTTGTTATATCAAACAAAGGCTAATGTTATCTTGCCAAATTTACGTTGCTAGATAGATTGATTATGTTGTCGCAATGTGAATTTGAACTATACAATCAAGTAACAATTTAAGTATTTTTGTTACGAGACAATCTGGTAAGAAAACATTTCTCATGAAACAAAAGAATGAAAACAAATCTTTTCAAAACAAGAACTTCATTAAGAACAGAAGGAGATCAAAAGGAAAAGCAAGAGGGTTTAAAAGTCCACTTGGGGAAGAGTATTCGTACACGTGTGTGTGAAGAGAGGAGGGGGGTTGTGCATGCTAGAATTCCTACCCTGAAGAAACAGCTTCTATGTGAAGTAAGTGGTAGGCTAGAGCAAGGTAGGGTCCAAAAATAGATGGCTATGGACACCAAAGGATGAAGTGGATTTCACCTCAGCAGAAAATCCAATATGCGTAGGACACTGTCCAATATATGCAGGACAATGCCCTAAGAATTAGGCTTTGCAATAACTACATCCACACAAATATTACACAAAGCTTAATCTTGATATCATGATTCATGACTGCAAAAATTTCACAAATAACTCTGCACATGCACTTACCTTCTTAAAAATGAGTGATTGATTGTCAACCGTTGATGTTATAAAGTAATTTTCATAATGTTATCTCCTTAAAAATGCGTGATAGACTGTCAGCCGAAGTAGCTTTCATAATGTTTTAAACGCTGACAAATCTGTCACGCACACACAGCTCGACCTCCCAACCACCTCTCTTGAAAAACGAATGGTGTTTAAACCAAAATACACATGAATTTAAAGGAGAATTACAAGTATGACGGTAAGATGGACAAAAATAATGGGCAGAGGTTGTTTTGTGCAATTTGCATTATTAGTGGGAAGCTCCAAAATTGTTCTGAAAGAATGATCACCCAAAAGTTGCATAGTAAAACACCTCTGAATTTAGATACCTCTGTCTGACATTTGGAATTCTTGGCACCCTATTGGTCCTCTTCCCCTAAACTCTTCAAGTCACGCATGTAGGGGATAAAAACATGTTGTGAGTTAGAGGACTTCAAAACTCTGAAGGCGTGAACAACCAGAAATAGCGGACTCTGTCACTCCGCCCAGCAATAACCTGGAAGCACAGTCACCTTAAGCGGTACAACAATTCTGTGCTACAATTTTATTGTTTTCTAAAAAGAAAAAAAAGTAGACAAGGGTAAGGAGTATGGTTTTTTGTTTAAGAAATACAAATCTTATGAATTCGGCTTTCTCTAACGAAGTAGAGATTGAGGATTAAAAGATCAAACGATCAATTTGCACATCCTTTTCGAAAAGTTCATAAACTAATGATTTAAACTTCATCTATTTTAGACTTTCTTTTTGTATAGATTTTTAATAGAAAGGGCTTAGTTTAGGGAATGGGAGCAGTAAAATCAGGGAAGGCTAAGAGCAATGTTATGTTGTTAATAGTTTTACAGTAACTTTAAATTCATAAATAGTGTCACAAAAAAATATTTTCTATAAACTTAAATTCCTTTTTGGCAAATTTCTCAAATGAAATCGAGTTTTACCACCACCAATTATTCCATGTCACATAAAAATCCCCACCTTTTCCACGTGTTGCCACATGAGCTGCAGTTCATGGAATGCCCATAATATTTTCCTACACATTATCATTGTCCAAAATATTAACTTTCATTGACTCTCTTCCTTTCTCTTTCTCTTTCTCTCTCTGTAGCGTATAGTGGTGTGGAGCCCATAGCTGGACCTTTGCTTTGCTGGCTTCAAGCTCTCCATTGTTGGTCTTTTATGGGGCTTGTCTGCTGAGAAAAAGAAAGAGAAAGAGAGAGAGTTTTAATTTTAATTTTTTCAGTTGGCCCAATCTTCCCTTTCACGAAGACTCTTCCTTTTGAATACTCCCATTCACTTCTGTCTACTTTTTCAACAATCTCATCATCTTCCACACAGCACTAGTTGATATATATAAAACCAAAGCTTGCTCCTTGTTTTGATTTCATGGATCCACAGATCTAATGATTCCATACCCACATGAGCTTCTCTTCTTTCCAAGATCTTCAACTTCAACTGCAGGACACAGGCGGTTTCAACCAGAAGAGGCAGTCAAATTAGGAATTGGGTAAGTTCCCTTTTCTTCTTGGTGCCGATATTTGAGAAAGAAAAATGCTTTTTTTTGTGATTATTGGTGTTTTGGAATCTGTGTTACAGAAAGTTCATTTTTAGCAATGTGAATAGGTCTTCTGGATTTCCAAATGGCTGACCAAACTCTTTTGTTGAACAATAAAAAAAAAGTGGCTTTGACCACACTTTTTTTTCAAACCTCCCATTTAAGTTTCTGTTGAATTTTTCTTATTTACCAGCGGCTTTTGTGGCCATGGGTATTTTGTTTTCAATGGATACAAAGATGGGTTTTGTGACTATTGGGTCCTAATTACTTCTGTTTTTGTGCAATTCCCAACTGAAATTAACTGTAGAGGCAGCTTCTTTATGTAATTCCTTTGATCTGTTGGGTTCTGATTGGGCAGCTTCTATAAAATGAAAGACAGAGATTTTTAGTTGTGCAGTTATTAACCTTGTTGTATTTCTGCTGTTGATGTCTGTTGTAGTGTATGATAGTTGAGCTGAGAAATAGAGGACAATACTACACTAGACTCAATTGAGATTTCGGGGTGAGGGAGTTGTTTTAAAGTCGTTCTTACATGTGGAGATTTTGGAGGGTTGTTTGGATGAGATGAGGGATGTTATCAGAGTTGATGAACTTCTTGAGGTCCTGTTTTCGGCCGAGGTCGAATCGATATGTTCATACCGGTGCAGATTCGGGGGGTCGTCAAGACGGGCTGCTGTGGTACAAAGACACAGGCCAGCACATAAATGGTGATTTTTCAATGGCTGTAGTTCAGGCCAATAATTTACTTGAGGATCAGAGTCAGCTTGAGTCGGGCAGTTTGAGCACGCAGGAATCTGGCCCCTATGGTACTTTTATTGGTGTTTATGACGGGCATGGTGGACCAGAGACATCACGCTATATCAATGAACACCTCTTTCAGCATCTCAAGAGTAAGTGGATTTAGACTTTTTGATGGAATTCTGGACATTTTAAATTCCTTCTGCAAGCTTTGTTGCCTATATGGCTTTTGGTTTGAAATTATGTTTGGCGTTTATAATGGTCAGGGATTTGAAGGGCAAAAATTTACAATAGAGGGCATGGTTTAGCTATGTGGTGCATCAGTTAGGATGTGGAACCTTGCAGAGTTGATTATTTTTTTTAGTTTAAAAAAATGATGTCTCGGTCAAATTAAGTTGAGTATGTGCCGTAAAGGCAGGTTCAAGTCCAAGGATTTTGCATTGAATCAACAGCTAAAGGTGTAGCATATGGAATGTAAATTTTACAATTCAGTTGGTGCATATGGGCTTCGATTTATAGACAAACTCCCTGTTGTAAAATTTTAATTTCCTTGATGTGCAGGATTTAGTTCGGAGCAGCAGTCCATGTCTGTGGATGTAATACGAAAAGCATTTCAAGCAACAGAAGAGGGTTTTCTTTCTGTAGTTACCAGGCAGTGGCCTATGAAACCGCAGATTGCAGCAGTAGGGTCATGCTGCCTTGTTGGTGTTATTTGTGGTGAAACTCTTTATATCGCTAACCTTGGTGATTCCCGTGCTGTTTTGGGGAGAGTTGTGAAGGCAACAGGGGAAGTGCTCTCTATTCAGTTGTCACAAGAGCACAATGCATGTATAGAATCTGTGAGACAGGAGCTGCAGTCTTTGCACCCTGATGATCCACATATTGTAGTTTTGAAGCATAATGTATGGCGTGTAAAGGGCCTAATACAGGTAACTCTTTTACAGTATCAGGATTGGTTATTGATATTAGTACTCTGCAGCTATACCACTCAAATAACTCCTCTACTTTCTTTGCACCAAGACCAAGTATTTGTAAATACTTGTGTTCTGAGGTAATCTAATAGTACTATAGTGCATGCTGAAAAGTTCCTAATACTAGTGCTTTAGTTTAACTATACTTCCCCACCCCCCTTCCTCCAAGAGTATGTTGGTCTCATTTACATTTTCAGGACGACTTTTCGGGACAACATTTGTGCTGCATTTGTTGGCTATTTTATGATTTTATATGGGTTTAAAAGCGGGATCAAGTTTTCTTCTGATGCTCTTTCCAAATTTGTCTTCCTTGCTTTCTTTGCTGATCAAGAATGCGAAAATTCTCAAACTAGATCTTGTACTTCCTAAAGCTATATAAACCTACCATTTTTTGAATAATCTGAAAATTTTACTGATCTAGATTGTTTCTGGCTGTGCGGGAAAGAATAATGAAGTTCAAACATTCATGTATGGCGAAAATATTGTATAGTTGTTATGGTTTCACATCTTTATTATCAGTGATAGCTCTGGTAGATCATTACTCAAATCTCGATGAATATCAGTCCATGGAAGATATAATACAAGGTGTGCGATCACTCATAGGCGACACCTTATCATTAATGAATATAAACTCATTGATGGTACATCTTACAATGCTACACAAATGTTTTGGTTACTTTTAGTCTTGCAATATTACGCATTATATGGTTTGACTTGATACATTTTATCATTTTTATGCTGACTCTGATTTTGGGAATCTTACATCTTGCAGATTTCTAGATCTATTGGCGATGTGTATTTAAAAAAGGCTGAATTTAACAGGGAGCCTTTGTATTCCAAGTTTCGTCTTCGGGACCCTATCAAAAGACCGATATTGAGCGCTGATCCTGCAATTTCAGTGATCCAATTGCAGCCGCATGATCAGTTTATCATCTTTGCATCCGATGGGCTCTGGGAACACCTCAGCAATCAGGAAGCAGTGGACATAGTTCAAAATCATCCACGAAGTGTAAGATTTATTTCTCAATTTTATACTTGTACTCTAACAATAAAGGGATTGTATTCATTAAAATAGATTAACTGTTTGTATATCTGAAAGTAGAATCAGGAAGCAATTGATGAGTTAAAACTATGGCTAGTGTCTGTATGACTCATATCATCATATTTTATTTTGCTAATGAGAGAAAATATTGGGGAAGTAAATAAATTTTTGACTGTACAAACTTAACTGGTATCTCTAAGTTGGTCTCCCATGCTAGAACTTTGATTCACAGAAAGTTATGTACATTATTTTAAGATCAAAGGATTGCCTTATCATCATGATTTGTGCGTATATCACCACCAGGAGGAGCCTTTGTATGACATGATATGGTTATGATCTGTATCAGCATGAACTGAGGATTTTCTGCAAGTTATAAAAAAATTATGATCTTTTGGTACATTGAATTGAATGAATACTTGTATGTATTAGAAAATTTGCCTCACGTGTCTTGCGGGTAGAATCCATCTATTAGAGTGGAGCAGGTTCTGTAAATAATGCCTCCTCGGCTGATTATATGGAGAAATGATGTCATCTTGTGAGATACTTGAAATGATCCTCCTATGAAGTCATTGTTTTAATTTTAGATCCTGTTGTAAGCCCATGTTTTCTTAGGATTAGGTTCAAATTCCTTTTAGATATCATGCAGCAGGCAGTGCATTTTGATACAGGGGATCATTCAACCTTGTCCCAACTGGGTTCTAAAAACCCAAGTAAATTTAGCTGGATTGGCTCTTGTGCAGCTAGACACAGCTATCATTCTATTATGCGCACAGTCCATCTAAAACCAATTATTTTCCCCTTGTGTCTCCTGTGTTTGATGAATCACCAGCCTAAAATTATTTGCTGTTTCATAACTTCGGGTTTGGGGGAAGAAATACGAATCCGCCTCTATTCTATGCTAACAATCCGTTTTATGGATGTTTTATTGAACAATGCCTTTTAATGATATGTTGCACCCAAGTCATTCGTCTATGGAAGGGAATTTAACTTTTGTTTGCTAACCTCATGCAGGGAAGTGCAAAGAGGCTGGTGAAAACTGCCTTGCAAGAAGCAGCAAAAAAGAGAGAAATGAGGTATTCAGACCTGAAGAAGATTGACCGTGGGGTTCGCCGCCATTTCCATGATGACATAACCGTGATCGTTGTGTTTCTTGACTCAAACCTTGTGAGCAAGGCTACTTCGGGCAAGTGCCCAAATATATCAGTGAGAGGGGGTGGAATCAACCTGCCTCCTAATTCTCTGGCTCCTTATGCTACAGCAACGGAAGCTGGCAATACCTGATCAAACGGTATCTCATGTGTGTTTTTCTGTTGTACCATTATCTTGTGTTAATACTAGGGGTAGCTTCCAAGACAGATTACAAGGAGCGGGTCTTCAATTCTTTAATGTACACTGTAACTTTAACTGGAATCTAATACTTGCATTTAGCTTCTGTGCCAACAACAAAAAGAACTGGAGAAGAGAACTTCAGGTGACAGTAATCATAGCTATATTTCCTTGACCCTGTTCTTATCCTTTTCTTGTTTTGCTTTTTATTTCCTTTGAAATTTCAGATCTGTAAATTGTATGACATGGCAAATTAAGTTTTTGCTTCCATTTTTCTTTGCTTGTTTGTTCTCTTATTTATTTATTTCATATTTTCCCTTCATTATAATGCATCTGATATTGCAATGATAGTGACAGAAAATTGCCAACTATCATGCATTGCCATGTATTTTAACTATCTTACATGAGAGTACGTGGTTGGCTGGGATATCGCCACGATATCGCCACAGTAACGTTCTCGTTGCATGAAAGTCCACATGTTTGAGATTAAGATGAAGAAAGTGTCAAAGTTTGACCACATATTAATGCATGTTTTCCGCCATTAATAATCAGCTGTTCCAGAAAGCACTTTTGCTTCTCCTGCTGCCTAATTGGAAATGTAGCACATTATGTTATGAGGACATGAATGAAAGCTTTTGAAACATGAACCATCTGTGGCTGCCATGTACCTGAGCTCTGATGCATCATAGTACATAAAACTCTAATAAAATCTGCAATCCCTGAGTTTCTGCTTTTAATTATAGGCTTTTTATAGCTGTAGCTGCTATACAATTTATACAGCTATTGTGCAATATATCTTAAGTTCTAAGGTCCTACAAGAATTTCAAAATGAATATGGAAAAAAGGGAAGTAGGGAGTTCCGAGGTGAGAGAAAGGCTCTTTTACTCTCACCTGTCAGACTTCTACCAGGGCATATTCTCCCACCAACCCACATACAAAAAAACCCTTATTTTGTGTCACCTAATTGCCATTTTTTTATCCAACCCTAGACAACCAAGGCACATCCCTCAATGCCACTACTATATAGTATATACCCTTCAGGATTTGTGAAAGGCCCATGGTCATAATCCCTCCATTAATAAGTCAAACATTTCTTACCCAAAATACCTCAAAATAGTTTGACTTTGATCTTTGTTATTTTATTTTGGTTATTTTCACTGTGTAGTTTTGTTTATAAATGAATCAAGCCCTACAAATGTAACAAATTTGAAGACAGAAATACCGTGACGTGTATTAGTTGTATATTGTCACGTCGAATTTCTTCGTGTAGTTTAAGATTGAAGTTTGATTAGAAGTCAAACTATAATTATATGATTAAGATTGTCAAAACTAAAATGATGGAGACTAAAATGAAAATTGAGTTAAATTAAGGGCAGAAAAAGAAGTAGATAAGAAGCTTCCTCTTGCTAACCTCACTTCCTCCACTTGCAAAATGTCAAAGGCAAATATTGTTACTTAAATAATAGTAGCAGAAAATTCCTGATGCATACATATAATCTGATTTGGTTTTGGGCCAGATTTGACTAATGGGAAGACACTGTGTGTGATTCTGTGAATAGCATGTGGCAAGTCTTTGATTTTTTGGTTGGAAATAAAATAGTTAAAAGGTTTTACTTGCTCAAAGTCCAGGGCAAACTTTGATGCACTCCCTAGATCCTCGGCTGTCATTCTCACATGCATCTCCATTTCTTTTTATAATACCACGCAGTCAAATGTTATGATGAAACTATTACCCTTTGTTTGGATGAGAAAAAATAATTCAAAATTTAGTTCAAAGTAGGAAATTTAAGAGGAGAAATTGATAATTCCCTTGTTTGGTAACTTAAGCGTGGAATTTATTTAATGATGCGTAGAAAAAATCGTGAAAATTGGAGCATCAAATTCCCGAGTTTAATTTCTACCAAAATAATCGTCATTTCAAAATTTCTATAGTGTCATTTACAAAATTCAACATACATAAATCCAAACACTGAAATCTTCAATTGCCAGAAATTGAAATGATGAAAATATAAATTCTGTTATTTTAGAATTCTATCCTTCATGTAGTATAAATTATTAACATAATTAAGTGGTAATTCATGTTTGTAAGTATTATTGCTATTTTATAATAGAATCCCTATTTAACATTTTTTTTAAAGAATTTTTTTATTAAAAGGGGCAATAATATACTAAACTTACACACACTTCACATATGTTAGGACTCGAACCCAAGACCTTGCTTAAGGGAGTAATTACTCCAAACCACTAGTCATTTGCTATTTAACTTTGTTTTAGATGTTCGTATATGTACATGTAGCTGATAATTGTGAAGCGTATGAAATTAATTTCAAAACTAACACGTTGACAACTAAAAATTGTTTACCTCTTTTGCTAAGTTGTACTTAGAACAATCATCTGCACGTGAGTAATTGTAAGTCATTATCATGTTTTGCCCTAGTGCACCCTAAGTAGCAATCCTTAACACGTTTATTTATAAATTTTGAAAAAAGCATATGAAGTTAATGACCTGCAAAGTTCATATAGAACTCAGATCAGATCTAGCAGAGGTACTCATTGTCATTGCACAATGGTACCACGCACCTGGTTCCCAAATGGACCAAACAGAAAACTTCCTTTTGCTTTATGTCACTCTCACACCAGAGAGCTTCAAATTCTTGCAAAATCCAGGTGCCATTTCCATGGATTTCACTTGTTGGGCAGACAATTTTGAAGGGATAGATTTGTCTTTATGGGAAAGACAATGACAGTTGAGACTTTTCACTACAGTAAAAACCCATGCTTGACTGTTAATTTCAAGGGAGGTTCTGTTCGTACCAATGGAAATGTCTATTTCAACGACCAATGAATGAGCTTCTTTCTTTCATTGTTTTTAGGTTATTTTCATATTAACGGTTTTAAACAATATTTAATTGTTTTAATTTGTATGAAGAATGGGAATAGAATACTGTCATGTTGATTGGTTAGTATATTTGTATTCAGGTTGTTGTATTTGTATTGGCCTTTGTGGATGACCTGACGGTCTGAATTATAAATCCAATTTTTCAACTTCGGAAAAAAAAAACCTGTTATTATTGTTTTGCAAGGCTAGACCAGCATGAATATCAACTTATGTTTAGCTTTAAAGAAAATATAATAATGCCACTTTTTTGTTGTCATTTAGGTGTATATATATATATATACATAATTAATGACTCTAAACAATTTTATATATATATATATATAATTGTTTAGAGTCATTATGTAATATCTGTTTAGTTAAGTTTATTAAATATGAAAACTTTAGACACCATCATTTTTAGGTAAACTTGATAGATAATAAGAAGAAAAGAAACTCTCAATTTCCCATTCACTCTTCCAAACTCTCTCTTTCTGAACAAATTAGAATTTATGATGACATGTCTCTTTTTATATTATAAAATCAGATTGAAAACAACAAGGACACCCAAGACAAGACAAAGAGACCTCTGGTTTCTGCAGTGGTGACCACCCCTTTACCAGTTATTTACTGAGTTTGACTCCTCTTTTTACTCACTAGCCTGCCACTCTAGCTCTAGGTGTGTGTGTGTTTGTCATCCTCTAAAACCTCAATGTTTAATTGTTGTAAACTTTTTTATTTTTCTTTGATTTAATTATTTATTTTGTTAAGGTCTTGTGGGAGAAAAAGAAAGAGTGGCTCGCTGAGTGGGTTTACTATCAGATAAATTTGTGTGAAATATGTATAGCATTGTTTTGCTATTCTCAGTTAATTATAGACTGCTATGTAGAATAATTATCATTTATGATATGTCGTTATTGACCGGAGATAGCAAGACAGTTATATCCTGTTTCATACAAGTATTTAATTGTTCCAAACTTTTTATTTTTCTTTAATTTAGTTATTTATTAAGGTTTTGTGAAGTTGCCCCAGGTCTTGTGAAGAAAAAGAAAAAATGGCTGAATGGGTTTACTGTTGATATATACAATGCCAAGTTGCCAACTAATTGAGCTCAAATTACCAAATAAAAGACAGGAACACTCTCTAGCTCTCTCTCTTTCTCGAGCCCCTACCTTCTTTCCCTCCTAGGGTTCTGCCTGGCATTTACTCTGTCATCTACTTGCTCTCCCTCTCTCTCTGCATACATGTGGTTAACTAATCGTAAGTGGGTTAAGGTTAACTGGTTAAGAGGGCTGGATGAGATAAAAATCTCTCCTAGAAAGTAGAAACCTGTCTGTTGAACGGTGGTGCTTTTAAGCAAAAAAGTATTTTCTTCCCAAAGCACAAAATAAAATAAAATAAGGCACTCTGCTGCAGCATATATCTGTGCAATATCTCTCTCTCTCTCTCTCTCTCTCTCTCTCTCTCTCCCTCTGTTTGTGTGGGTTGCTCTGAAACTTCTACAAAAGCTACATTTTAAACTTTATTTCTATAAAACCCCAGTTCAGGCAAGCACATTCTCCATTTGGGCAAAACCCCACCTCCTTTTTATCAGAAGAAAATACACAGATTCCTCCAAAAAACCACCTTTCTCACTTTAACCCATTTTTATCTCCTGAAAGCAGCCTCAAGCCCCTCAAGACCTATTGTAGTGAGAAAAGCTTCCAACTTTAGCAAGAGAAGTGATGGGGGGATGTGTTGCCTCTAAGCTAGAGGAAGAAGGAGTAGTAACCATCTGTAGAGAGAGGAAACGCCAGCTGAAGTTAGCAGTGGAGAAAAGATGTGCTCTTGCAGAGGCACATTGTAAGTATTGTCATGCTTTATATGCAGTAGCTGCAGCCGTAGACCTCTTTGTTGCAGGCTACTCTTCTCCACCTTCACCTTTCCTCATCACATTTTCACCACACTCTCCTCCTCCTCCTCCTCCTCCAATCACTGAAAATGTGATAACCAACCCAATGTTCCTTCAGCAAAGGCCATCTGAGTCAACCCATGAAGCCATTACCTGCGCTTCATGTGATTCTTCAACATCCTCAGACTACTCTGAGGAAGAGAGAGAGGAAGAAGAAGAAGAAGTAGAAGAAGAAAAAGCAGGGGAGAGAGAAGAACAGGATTGTGGGTACTTTTATATGCAAATGCCACCATCAATGCCATCTCCATCAATGCCATCTCCTCAGAGAGATTTTGGGTGGGATTTCTTTAACCCTTTTGACGCCGTGAGGCCGGAGATTATAAGCGGTTACAGGCGGAGCTCTGATGATGATTTGAGGGTGGTGAGGGAAGAGGAAGGGATACCTGAGCTAGAAGAGGAAGGGGTTCCTGAGCTAGAAAAGGAAGGGGATAGAGAAAAAGAGCAAGAAAAGAAGGT